GGGGACTTCGGTGAAAAGTGACACGACATCAAAACTGGCCATTAAGGCTTTCGAATTTAGTTGTTCTAGTGTATATTTAAAATTGAAGTCACTCTTGTAAATTACTTGTACCTGATGATGACAAAACCTTGTCGAAACATTGTACATTTGCTGTCATGTTAAACTTATATTAAAGTTTTTCTTCATTACCCATTTAAGCCGTCTCCAGCCATTATTAGTCTCAAAGTGGGTTCCTCGTCATCGAATTTGAAGACCTTGTTTGTATTCATCAGCCTAATTATATAGCGCACTGCCAAAACTAATACATCAGTATCTGGAGTTTTGATAAAAATTGTTCCCTTCGGGTTTTCAAAATGAAATTGTGTGTCAGCTGTTATCATATGGAATATAATCCCGGTATCAGCTTCCATGTGATCAGTTCTGGTTTTGTGATAAGTCCATCATGTGTGACACAGTTTACCATTGGTAAAACTTCCTACTAATATTAACTGGGTAGGTTAGTCACTTGGTACTGACATTTTTGGAGGTGCCAATCAAGCAGTGAAGCTACACAAGTATTTGTTCAGTTAGGCTTTATTCTCAGAAACATCCAGAAATTTTTGCCATGGTGGTACTTTTCAACTTCCTGACACCTGATTCTTGTATGCATCTGTTTTTTGTCGTATTATGCATTCCCAATTTTGATTAGTTGATTATTTTCTTGATAATCGATTGAATTAATGTGTTTTTGGAATAACCAAATACAGTAATAAGCAGAAAAACTAATTTTCATTAGTTTATTATCTTTATAATTTGACCATCGATTTAATTGTAATTTCAATTAGTTTATGGGTCATTAATTGATGTAATCACTACTTATAGTTAATTGATTAATCAGTTAAATCACCCAGCTCTAACTTCAACATCCTCATTACAGCTAGAAATATTTTTATTGTTCCTAGTAAAACTTTACTATTTTATTAATTATGCCCTTATCAGTGTCATTAGTCTAATAAGAAAATGCAAAGACCCAAGCATTAACTCGTGAGTTACTGTACTATTAAAAATGGTACAATTTGTCTGGACACCATAATAAATACTTGGTTTCTCTCTACCATCCATCCTACAATCCAGTTTACTAGTGTTTCCTAATCCCCTTTAATGTAGTCTTCTTTTCAAATATTTTGAAAATATGAGTACACCAGGTCCACATCCTTTGTCATCTAGGTAACACATAATATCCTTAGAAAAACAAACTTTTAGTGAGGGAGCCTTCGTTGATATTATTTTCTGATATATTTCATTGGGTTATTGTGCAAAGCTTTTTATCAGGCTATACTATTTTTTACACAACAGAAGGAAGAATTAACCCTTTCGAGACGGGTCCCAGATGAAAGGCCATGTCATCTCGTTTGTTGACTAGTATTCAAAACTTTATTGAACTACTACTTCATGAATTTATGTCAATAAGTTTGGTATCAGAATGTAGATTATAATTCAGATTTTACTGCTATATATTACTCAATTTCTTAATTTAAAAGTAAATATTAAAAACACAGATAAACATCAATTTTTGGGTGTCACGTGGTATATTGAATTCAGCACTGGTTCAAACTAGATGTTTGTGAAATCAAAATACAAAGTCTTTAGTTTTGTACGAATTAGAAGCTAAAATTACCGATATTGACAAGCTAGAATATAAAATAAGAAATCTTATCTTTTCTATTTACTAAGATATTGCTCATGTAATAAATCAAACAGAGTGGCACCCCACAAACCTCTTTCCATTTTTGGAAATGCTCTCTTATATACACTTCTATATATGACATGACTAACCAGTAGGAAGCTCAGAATGTCCCCCTTGTGGCTTTCTCAAGATTTCAAGGAGGTAGTGTCTTTAGTCTGCTCGAAATTCCACATTTTTGTTAGACTAAAATACATCTTAGTCACTAAGTTTGATAAATTATAGTGGAATTCTATGGTATTGATGTAGTAATTTATGATTTTTTTAGTTATTCAAATGTATATATAAAACCTAAAAAAAATTGTTTTGTATAATTCACACGCAAAAATTTTAAAAGCTTAGCAACCTACGTCAAGTAGCAACAGAATACAAAGGTCGTAACTGGAAGATTTGCTTTACTTCTTTATTTACTGTTCTATGTTTTTAGAGAAATAAGTTTAAGAACTTGTTTCAAAATAGCAATAATCTATATACTTATATAATGTGTAATAATTGAAATGTGACTATATTACAAAATGCTAGTCCACTAAAACACAGCCAAGACAAGTTACTTTGTACAGACCAAACGTCAGTTTTATATTATTGGATACGGTAACATGAGTGCACGTATGTATTGTTAGCCAGGCACGACTGAAAGGTCAATATAATGAAAGTAATAAATATGTATAATGTTATGAGAATTAAGCTATTTAATCTAAACTTTTATGTTTGTGTTATAATTTGTGTTCATTCTAGAATGAAAGAATAACTTATATTTATTTCCTAATTTTTATGGTGGATACAAGATTGTTCAAATCTACCGAATCCATACAGAGCTTCACTACTGAAAATAACAGATAAAATATAAAGTTTTTTCTTGAGAAACATTATACTTTATACATGGACATTATAAAGATTTCACATGTGAAATTTCATCATTTTCTGATGCATAAAAGTATTTTTAATCATAAAATGAAAATTACTTTGCATGTTAGATAGGCAACATGCAAAAAGAAAAAATAGCATGAGAAAAACATTGTCCAACAAACCTTAAGAGTTAATAAAAAATTTGATATTTTGGGTATGAAAGCATTGTAATATCTACTGATAACCTGCCAAATTTTGTTAACATTTGCATACGTGTTTGAAAATTCTAGCATGAAAACTATAACAAGCACAAAATGGTTATGAGGCTGGTCCAAAGGACTGAGTCCGTGCTGAAAGAGTTAACTGGCTTATAATTTCCTGGTTAACTCTTTCACAACTTTGAAAATAAGAATTCTCAAGATATCTGCCCACTGTCTATTGACCTACTAAAAATAAATTTGAGAAGCTTGTATATCTTATTTTTTAGCATAAAGCAGAGAAAG